GATATCTGTCGTACAATTAAAGGGGTACCGTTTCTTTCTTCGTCTTCTTCTTCGTCAGCATTCTTTCTTTCTCAGATTTCTTTCTTTCTTTCTTTCTTTTACGACTATAAAAGGAAATCGGAAGATGGAAGAGATGAGGAGGACGCATGTAGATGAAACAGTAGTTATAGTAGTGCGGGTGGGGTATTTCAGATTATGCATGCGGCCGCCCTTCCGCATCACGCTTGCTCCCAACTTGCCTCCGATCGCTTTCCAACTGTAACAAGATCATAACAGTATTTATTAAGTGATTTATATGTTATGTCAATATCAAATATATATCCTCTCAAATAAAGCCAGAATTCGTGACCCATTGAGTTTGAAGTTACGAGAAAGCGGTGTGTGTAAGATTATATTACTGACGATTCGACCAAGAAAATCTCATATATATGAGGCTACATTGTGGCTGCCGTTACACAACAGCTATACACATATCCATTGTTGTCGAACAAAAGATAATTGGAGAGGGCAATATTTCTGAACTTCCAAAAACCAACGTCGATATATAATAGAAGAAAATTGAGTAGTGTATATGTAGCATATATTAAGCAATAATCGAGTGATCTGTTTGCATGCATGTATAGTATAACTAGTTGTGCAGGTTCGAAAGAGACAAATCAAGTACGTACTGAGATCCAGAAATGCTGATAGGCGCACATGATGGTGAAGCATACATCCCGGTCAACTTTGGCATTTCCCCAACCTTCTGTACATCGGCGCCCATGGCTTCTGTTTAATTGCGTTTTCATCTCTACCGGCGGTTGAATGTAGGCATCTCTACGTTCAAGTACTTCCATTTTGTGGCATGATTGCGCTGGAAAGCAGGGTCGGCCAATGATATTTCGAGGTTTTGTTCGAAAATTTAAAATGTGGCCCTAAAATTTTTTCCGTAAATTTATTAAAACTAAAAATTATGAAATATATAATAATAAAAATACATAAGTTATAAAATCATCTATCATTGTTTAAAAAGTAGCAACCATCTAGTATTATTTGAAATAAAATCCTCTATTAGCTCTTTCATCTTTGCATCATCCAGATAGTTATTCTGAATTGCTAACATAGCTAACTCGTTAAACCTCTCTTATGTTATTGTAGAGCGCATATAAGACTTGAACAACTTCAATTTCAAAAAGTTTCTTCCTGCGGTAGCATCAATCACATGAATAGTTAATAAGTCAATGCAAATTATAATTGGATTTAGTTATTTTTTTCCTTTATACTATTGTTGGTTATACCTAACTATTTTGGTTAACATTTAATAAATCAATGCGAATTATTTAATTAAGCACTATTGCCTTGGTAGTACAAGCAGATTAATTGACGAAATTGAATTTTTTCCACCGACAGTAAAGAGGGTTCATGTCGATCGATGAAGGTCGGCGAATGAGGTGAGTTTAAAAGGGGTAAAATCTCCATCGAGGTCCTTTAGATTATGCCTTTTATTTCAAGTTATGTCGTTAATTTACGAGTTATGCGTGTTTACTTATTTGAGGTTCCCACCGCCGGCTAAAGGTGGAGGAGTGAATGTTTGTGACGATGTATGATGGTCTCGGTTAAGTAAGGGAACCCCCAAGCGGTTGGATCACTGTTGGACGCAGTAATTGATCATGGTCACTGTTGGAGGGCGATACGTAGCGCAGTAGTGATCGGGCATGGTATTGGATGACGATACGTAACACAATACCATAGCTTTAAAGGTAGGGACACCTGACGGCGATACGTAACGGGGTGATCCCTAGTAGTAATATGTGTATGAATTAAGGATAGGAGTAGAGAACTCCTATAAGTTAATTAGAGAATAAATAATAAAGGGTGAAAATGAGAACGACTTTCACGCAAGAGGAAAATTTTTAATAACGTTAAATATTAAGGAAAAGTTTAAGGCAAGGTTCTTAGGTTGTAGTAACGACGAGACTGACTCATTCTCACTGAACAGGTTGAGGAAGAATTAGTAGATGAGGATTTCCAGAAGAGGCATGGCGAAACAAGAAGCCGCACCAATTTTGACGAGACCTCAGATAGCTTAGTGAGGAGTCAGAGTTAGACTTGTTTAGTTATTTGTGTTTCATGCTTATGAGTATAAACTGGAGATTCGGAAGTTAGGTTTTATTGACTATGGATTGAGGTTTCCCAAGTGCTTAAGGCATTTCGCTCTAATTTGTTTTAGAAATGTTCATGTTGTATTTGTTTTATTGAAATTTTTTAGTATTGTTTTTAACCGACTCCGGAGCCATGAGTATTTCAGTTTGGTTAAAAGGATTGGGTTGTTTCATTTTGGTATCAGAGCCGACATTCCCCTGTTTCTTGGTCTCCAAGGAATACTGGAGTGACGGTCTGGGTTTCTCAAGGCTTTTGTTTTCAAAGGAAAGGAAAAAGGGGTGTCAGGTTAAAGGTTTGACTAAGTGAGTCAAAAGGGTTCTTTTGAGGATTTTTAGAACCTCTAGTATACTCTAATCATGATAAGGAAAATAACAAACTTAGAGCTACGACCCCAAGGAGGCAGTGGAAAGTTAGACTTTAAGCAATGCTAGGGGCACATAAGCAAAGCAAAGGAGGAAATAAGTAGGTCATAGGGAGCATGGCAAGATTTCGAGGGATCAATACGTCAAGGCTAGGAGCTACTGAACGGAGTTTGGGTATCAAATCTAGAACCAAACATCGATAAAGGGATTGTGAAACTAAGTGAAGTATAAATCCCTATAGTAGAAGGATTACCTCATGTGAGACTTTGAGTCATCACGATCAACAAATTTCGAGGTCGAAATTTTTCTTAATGAGGGAGGAAATGTGATACCTCGAGTTTGATTTAAGGTCCAATAACAAGTACTGAATGAGGTAGACCAATAAATTGAATCAAAAAAATTTCCCATCACACCTTGTACCCAAACTGGGGAATTACAAAGGACAAGTAGTTACTCGATGCTAACGAGCTTAGTGAGAATACCTTTTATGGTTAAGAGTAAATATTAGAAGCGAGGTAAACTATATTGGACAAGCAACGGACATCATCGAAGTTCATATAGCGAGAGTAAATTCTTGAGGAAAGAATATACAAGAATGAGGAGTATGGAAGAATGAGTTCGAGCAAATTTTGGGGACAAATTTTTTGTAAGGGTGGAGGAAATGTTACACCCTGCATTTTCTAAAATTAAAAATGACTATTGTACCATTGGATTTCATCAAGTTCCACCATAATATCGATGAGGATTAAAAATGTGAACTCTCGGTCCAAACGGTGTAGAATTTCAATGTAATAGAGCAAGTTACGGCCGTAACTTGACAGAGTGGGTTTGCTAATAAAGGCTGGTTTTGTTGGGAATGGTTTTCACTATTGGGTTTCTGATTCAGATCGAATGGGCCTGGGCCTGGAGTCGTGGAAGGCTAACTTTTGAATTAAAAAAGTGATGGGCTTAAGCCCAAGTGGATAAGAAAATTGAGCAGAGGAGATGAGGGCTTAAGCTCGTGATGTGAATTAAAGGGAGGAGCGGGCCTCTTGGGTCGCTGAGAGGGAAGAAGAGAAACGGGCTCAAGCCGGGGAAGGAGGAAAAGAGAAAGAAAGGGAAAACGGGCTGGTGACCCGACAGCTCAAGAGGAAGGGAAGAGGAATAGTTGTTTCTCTGAAAAACCAGCCGAGAAGCAGAGTAGTTGCAGGTCCTGGAAGGTTAATCAATTCGACATAGAGTTTTGGTGGTCATGCCAACTTTTGAGGATTGGTAGTAATTGGAGATTTAATATGGGTTAATGGAGCCTGTCTCTAGGTTATCAAAATCAATCAAAAAGGAAAATGGAGCGTCGAGAGTCTGAGAGAAACAGGGGAGGGGAATTGTTTGCACTTGCCCCAACGCCAAGTAGGTAGGAGACGAGTGGGGTTGAGAGTCATGTGTCGTTCGACAGCTATTGCCCTCCGTGGGACGAGAGGTGGTTGCTCCCTATTCATACGCGAGAGCTGCTTGCTTCCGTTTGGGGAGAAGCAAGCACGAGACGAGGTGGTTGCTTCCCACAATACAATTTTTCCATCTAGTGGCGCCCTCTTCATGAACTTATTTTGACATTAATAGACCGCCATTGATGACTTCCGACTTGATATAGCAGATCTTGTCCTACAAGTAACATGCATAATTTTTTATTTTAACACAAAGAGAGGTGAAGGTGAGGGTAGAGAGTGGGAGGAAAAAAAATAGGAGGAGAACATGAGTAAATACTCCATTTAATACACACACATATATGGTCATACTTATTTTACCTGTTTAAACTTCGTATCCATTCATTTGGTGACACTCGTACTAAACACATATAAAATATGTATAACACGTTTGATAGTTGTATTTAATCAATTAAATTGTTACCTTAACTATTATTTAAACACTAATATATTTTTAAAATAATTAATTTTATATATTTAGCAACTATTGACGTACTATTAAACATATAATTAAATGAATCATTAGTTTATCGACGAAGTAAAATATCCATACGTATTTTACGCATAACTTACATGTACCGTATTTTACTAACTATGAAACAAGGTGAAATAACTATTATGTATGTCTCTGATAATTATAATAGAATCGTGCTAACACTTAATAGAGTTAACATTCTATCGGTTCTTATATGCCTTCCAATTAATTGTAATTTACTCAAAACATATCAATTCCAAATTTTCTTTACCAAATTAATCATCCAATATTTGTGTTATAAACGGATCAGTTTGAGGATCAAATTGGTAAAGCTAAAAAGTTATAACTTTTTAGAGAATATGAATTCATAAGTTTTAGTGACAATCTTGTAATTGACCATAGCATTTTATAAAATAGAACCATTAAAAGGAAATTGCATTTCGCAGAATTCGAGGAGAAACAGTGTGTTTGGCGGACGGAGCTCTTTCTTTCTATCACTCAGTGTTCCCTCGATCTCCCTTTCGATTGTCCTTTCCTTCCTTCCAATCCCGAATTTCGTAGCCTAGAAGAAGACACCACCGCAACTTCGTCTCCTCGCTGGAACTCCCACCTCTCGCTTTGAGCGACATCTTCCCGCCAAGCTTCTCCATGGTACGTTCTCTCGTAGACCTTCACCTGTAAGCTTATACAATTTCAAGGTTCCAATCCGAATTCGTACTTCTTTCTTAATTCAGCTTCTAATTGACAATCCTCATTCTATATGACTTGACCAACAGATGCAGAAAGATATGGAGGAGTCTGCTAGGCTGTTGGAAGATGGTTGTGAGACTGAGACGCATTCCTCCTCTGGCATTGTTCCTCAATTCGAACAGCCGCAGCAAGAGAATTGGCCCAATTTCGCCAACAACGATATCATGCGACAGCACTCCGATATCCAAGATGCTAAAGCCCATAAACTGCTCAGCGATAAGGCACTCGTGCTTCCCTTTCCACTCCCTCTTTGCTTCCTACTTTTCTCCTCTCCTTCCTCATTCTTAGTTCTTACCTTCTTTCTATATTTCTTTATTGCAGGAGCCTCTTTCAGCATTAGCCGCATAATATCAATCCGGTAATCCAATTATTCTGCAGAAAATAAAGGTCTCCTCCCTACCTTCCCCATTTCTACTCTCCTTAATATGTTGAACAAATGGCGTCACTCCTTCTTCACTTTTCTGGGTGTACTACTCACTATTGTCGTTCTTTTATCCGAACAGCTACTCTCCGATCAGTATGTTGCCATCAGGCGAACTCGGGGAAATGGCAATTGCTTCTTCCGCAGTTTTATGTTTGCCTATCTCGTATGCATGCCTTACCCTCCATTCTTATTTTCCCTTTTGTTTTCTCTTTACCTACTAATCGACTTGGGTATATGATAGGGTGGATTATTCATTCGCATGAACATATTCTTCAAACTCAGGATCACAGTGAAGTTGATCGTGTTAAACTAAATGTTGAACAATGCAGGAAAACCCTTCAAAGTTTTGGGTTATGCTGACTTTACATTTGAGGACTTCTTTGCGGTAAACATATACATCCCTGTCTTTATGGGTGCCCCACTAATTGTGTTCCATGATAGTCAGATTATGGGCCTGATTTTTAGGAGTTTGAAATTGTTATCCCACTACAAGATGGTCAATCCTGGGTGGGGACAATGTATCTTTCTGTGTTAGTGGATATGCACACCAGATTATCATTCTTTTGTTTTCTTGCTTCATAAATCTCTATTTACTTGCAGCTAATACCTGTAACTTTATTCAATTGTCAAACTTTACAGCTATTTCTTGAGCAGTTGGACAATGCACTTCAAGGACATGATGATTCATTAAAGGTTTTGAACGACTCCATTTTCCATTGGGTTTTGGGGAAAACCTGGCATTCGTTTGGAGTCGTCTATGATAATGCCATATTTTATTGTGCAATTAACATCATCCTTCTGGTCCTTTCTTTTTGGTAGCCATGACGAGCTTGTAACTAGAAGTAGAGATCAGTCAGTATCAGATTACAATAAGTTACTCCAAAGATCATGTGGTAGCTATGACTGTTTGTTTGAGTACACCTAACAAAATTGTTGTGACAGTTGTCATGTTTTTTTATGTTTGTAACCTCTGGTGAGATAAGAAAGGAATCGACATTCTTTGAACCATTCAATATGGGTTTAAAAAATGCCACAGTAGAGCACGTTCATCTAAACATATATGTTTTACCCATGCTCATTTCAGCAAACATTATACATTTTTTATGTGTCATCGTCTTTTGGATCTTTTTGTGATATTTATTTTATGGGCTGGTGAGAATATGATATCTTCTTGGGTTTCTGACTTTCTGTCTCTTTGAGCAATCTATTTTGAGGAACTGCAAGGTCCGGAGTGGAACTAAAAAACTATTAATGATTGTTATTATAATTATTCAGTCTGATGCGATACCTCTTATTTGTAAGTTGTAACCTTGTAACCAATCCTTTTCCAAGTTTGCGGGATGATAATAGCTCCTAATATTAGAACTCTTGTAATAACCTTAAGTTATAGCTATCTTACAAACAAAGAATATAGAAACAAAAATCCGGATTTAGATATGGAAATAAAATTGTAGATTACAAAGCTCAGCCTTTCCTTCTCATGCCTGTGGTGATTCTGCTTAGGTAACAAGAGTATACATTGTAAGATAGTAGCGTTTGAAGATAACCATTTATGATCCTTCTGCCACAGCAAAGGCTTCTTCCTGTAAACATGAGTTTTATGTTGCATGTTTGTGCTTAACATCGATGAATGTAGTGGATGAATATCACTAACTCCATATTTGGTATGCAAGACCAGCAGTTTATCTTTTGGAGTCTGATGGTATTCGTGCATTTTTTATATATATAGTTTTGCAAGTCATCAGTGGAGCCTATGGGTGAAGAGAGTGATCATGTTCACATTATCGCTCTATTAGATGCCCTTGGGTTTCCCATTCGTGTTGTATACCTTGACCGTAGTTCGTGCGATACCGGTGAAGTTACTGTAAATCATCATGATTTCGTGCCTGCTTCTACCGGTGATCCTCCAAAGGTTACTAAAGACACTAACAAACCTTTTATCACATTGTTGTACCGCCCAGGTCACTATGACATTCTCTACCCAAAGTGATGCAAGTACTGATTTTAGAGAGGGGTAAGTTCTTATTTCCTAAAAAGCTTACAGATTATAAGAACATCATTTAATCTTGGCACACATATATTATTTTTATCTGATGAGCAAAATATTATCATAGTCGTGTTTCTTAAGCTCTTATCACATGATGCAGACTGTTGATAATACCCCTGGGAAACCCTTCAGCAGTGTTTGGAGGAGTACAATTTGTGGAAAGTTGAAACTGGCAGATTCCTGCACCAGTGCGTACTGTATGATCTGATGAAATTTCAAGTGCTTACGAATCTCATCTATGGGGATTAGGGGATGAACATGGTCAAAAATTATGGCGGCAGACATGAGTTTCATTTTAGGATTCAACTTTATCCTTTATGTATGTATGTCTGTCATGGTGCGATAGGCATTTGAAGAACAAGAACATCACTTGAACTTGTGGAGAAATGGTTTCATGCCATTGACTCTAATCAAGCTTTGAAATAATTACTACACCTTATGGCAAATATCAGTTATGTTCAAGTGATGCAAACTTTTGTACCGGTAAGCTGCAGCCCGCAAGTTGCTCTTTATAAAGCTTATACAAGCACCCAAATGCATACTTCTGACCTTTCTCACACTGAGGAAATAAAGAAAACATCTTCAGATTGCGGAAGGTCTAATCACTCGATGAATCTTGGATGCAATTGCAGGTCTTAGCAACTGTCTTGACCACGCCATGGGTTTAGTCAATAACAGGTGTTATGTAGAGGCCTAACCTAAATCATCAATCGGTCTAATTGTTAAACTCTACGAATGGAGTGAAAGAGGGAAACCTGGGAAGAGTAAAGTTCCAGCAACGGTCAAATGCAGAGGAAGAAGAAGAAGACGCTCAGCCCGGTCCCAGCAATCCGCAGCGTTCCAAGTGAAACGCATAGTTTTGTATAGCTGTAAATGATACGTTATATAGTTGTATAGATAGGAGACGTGTATTTACCTTAGAGGACGAGGTCGTTAGAGAACCTTTATCCTGTAGTCTTCTTCATAGAGTGTATGTAATCTGCAACAGAGCTGCAAGTGAAATGCATAAAGAATTTCACCAATTCATCTGTCGTTTACCAAACATTCTCATGGTATCAGAGCCTTGAGCTTGCCCTTTCTAGGGTTTCGTCATGGCTGCAGCCACCACCCAGGATGTCGAAGGCGGCGCTCAAATCACTCGCGATCCTCCTCCACGTCCTGCAATCGATCCCTACTATGTTATTCCTAACAAAAACTTATCCCAAGGTATCATCTCTGTTAAACTTGATGGATCTAATTACCATGTATGGAGTAGATCTATGCGAATCACCCTCAAAACCAAGAAGAAGCTTGGGTTTATGAATGACACCTTACCTATGCCTGAAGCAACCCACCATGACTATGAAGCTTGGGATCAAAGCAACATCAATGTCATGGGCTGGATCCTGAACTCTTTTATCGACTCTATAGCTAAAGCAGTTATGGACATTGAAACTGCCCAGGATCTCTGGAAAGATGATGACTCGATATTTGCACATGTTTTCCCCTGTGTTTCTTGATCGTTTGAGCTTTAATTATCACATCTTTGGCCTATTTTACGCTAGGTTGTGTTCCTTTGTCATATTTCAGGTCCTAGCACATAAAGTGAAGCATAGGCGCAAGTTTCAAGTCAATCAGAGATCAATTGGCGATTCGGGAGCAGAAACTCAGGCATGACCTGAAGAAGAATTGATTTCTACCTCACTTTATGGACAGATAATCATGCAAGCTTGTTATGAAACGAAAGAGGACGAGACTACGAGCGTCTGGGATCAAACGGCGACTGATTCGGAGTCCGGACGAGGGAGAAACGAAGCATTAAACAGAGGCTGAGCAAGCTGCACGGGCAGACCAGGGAGGCGCACGGCCGTGCAACATATAATTCTGGCCGTGCGCTCTCTGCCGAGGCCTTGCACGGGCAAAATCCAGCCTTGCACGGCCGTGCACCTGGCCGTGCAAGATGGCTGAGATCGATTAAGTGAAACGGTGCGTTTTGAGGGTGCACGGCCAGAATGGTGTTGTGCACGGCCGTGCACCTGGCCGTGCAACTCGGGGAAGCCTGTTTTTAAGCCTAATCCGAGCCAAAAGGAGGAGAGCTGGGTTTTGGATCCCAAACACCCAAGGGACGAACCCTAGAGAGAGAGAGCGACTTGGGAACATTCTTGGAGCTATTTTGGAGGATTTCTTCGCCATTGGAGCTCAGGAATCAAGCTTGGAGATGGAGATTGAAGATCTAGATCAGATTTCTGCAGTCTCTCTCTTCTCTATGGAGTAACTTCCCTTCACTTAGGTTTTGAGGAACCCTAGCCATGTTTGTTTGATTGGATGATTGTATGAGTACTCCTACTTGATAATCTTGAGTTCATATTCAATCTATGCATGTTTTCATGATTCAATTCTGCTTTAGTCGAGATTATTGATTCTGCTTTGATCCTATGAGAGCGAACACCTGATTAGGTCAATAGAGCACCATAGATTGATAGTAGTGGATCGATTGCTTTAGTCGAGGGTTGATTCACTGCTTTGTATCGATTGAGAACCTCATTCGATAGAGGGAGTCTAGTTCAGAACGCCTTGATCGATTGTTCTAGAGAAGGATACGTCCCTCTAGGCAATTGACTCAAGAGGGCCTTGTTCCTTTAGTCGAGACTCAAGGTCTAGTCAAGGATTCTCCGCATTGTGAATGAAAGTGAAACAAGTTAGAGATCATCAATCGTTAATCTGGCTAGTGGCTAGGGGGAATCATACCTAAGTGAGTTCCCAACCTGTAATTAGATTAACTTTAACTGTAGTTTGCTAGAGTAGTTTTAGTTCTTTCATCTTAATCTGGTTTGCTAGATAATGAACTGAAGCTGAGTAATAGTAACTCTAGAGACCCGTGGATTCGATATTTATTACTTGAGCCACTATACTGCAGTCCCTTTCATTGGTTACACTTGGCCTTTGTCAGGAGTTGTGTCGTAGCGAGTCAAAAGACCTCTAGGAGCGGTATGTCGAAGTGGATTCAATCTGCTTAGCTCATGTTCGAGCTCAAATCTCAACCTGCAAACAGGGCACCAGCTCTGTTACTGACTACTACAACAGATTAGGTGTCCTTTGGAAGGAGTACCTTTCTTTCAAATCAATCCCTACTTGTGAATGTGCTACTACTCCACGTACCGCCTCCTTTGTCACTTATGTTGCTGTGAACTAGGAACAAGACCACACCATTGACTTCATTACTGGTCTCAATGACAATTTTGAGATGACCAACAACCAACTCCTACTCATGGACCCTACTCCCCTCCTGAAGTCTGCCTATAAATATGTCCTGAAGCTTGAAAGACAAATGGGAAAACAATCTCTGAAAGATAGTTCAGGCGTTGATTCAGTGGCTTTAGCGTCGTCTCAGCAGCCCAAGAGTAAGGATCCACGAGGTGAGTACTCCAGACCCAACCAACCTCCTCCATACCAAAGCAACTACTTACTCCGAAGACCTCGACTGAGGGCGCTGGTAACAACTCTCAAACCCTATTTTGCAACTATTGCAAGAAGACCAACCATGTGATTGCTGACTGCTGGCGACTTAAATGGAAAAGAGGAGAGCAGGCAGGTCAAAACTTTGCAGCAGCTACCACTCTCGGGGGCGCATAAGACCAAGGTCCAGACCTCACCTCAAATAACCACACCTATGATTCTAGGGCATCCAACAACTCCACCACCACTCTCCGCCTCTCCAATGATGACTGCACCATACTTATGATGCTCCTCCAACAGACTGCTAACAGCAACACCACCCAGTCTCCAAACACTTCTGCTCAGGCTCATTTAGTGTCTAGATACCTCCATGCTCTGCCAAACAATGCAGGTAAATACACTATCTCATCCTTTACTTCTCTACAACAACAAGCACTTCATAATGTGTGGATCATTGACACTGGTGCATCTGATCATATATGCTGCAACCTTTCATTCTTTACCTCATACCACCATGTCCTCAACACTTTTGTCACTCTTCCCACTGGCTCCTCCGTCCGAGGTGATCACATTGGTACAGTTGTGATCAATGAGAACCTCACTCTACACAATGTCCTTCACATTCCCACTTTCACTTTCAATCTACTTTCAATCAGCACTCTCACCAAAACCATACCTGTCTCCCTAACCTTTCGATCCTTCTTTTGTGACATCCAGGACCTTCCCTCACAGAGGAGGATTGGTTTTTCAAGAGAAGTTAGGGGACTCTACCAACTTAAAGCAGTCACTCCGAAACCTGATCCAGCTATATCACCATCCATCACTGCTGCTGTTACACACTCCTCAACCCCAAAAGCTAAACTGTGGCATGCACGATTAGGACACCTTTCCAATTCCAGAGAAAAACTTTTCCTCCAATGTAACCCTCAAGTGCCTATAGGCACCATTAGTCATTGGGAAACCTGCCATTTTGCAAGGCAAAAGAAACTTCCCTTTACTTCCAGGTCTACTACTTGTATGAAACCATTTCAAATCATCCATAGTGACATATGGGGTCCCTTGAATACCCTTTCTTATGATGGTTATTCATACTTCCTAACCATCGTCAACGATCACTCTCGAGCTGTTTGGGCTTACTTAATCAAACACAAATCCGAAGTTAGGCCAATTCTAAAACAGTTCTGCACCATGGTGAAAACTCAATTCAACAAACCTGTCCAAATCATCCGAAGTGACCAAGGACATGAGTTTCACATGACATAATTCTTTAGAGAACATGGCATTACCCACCAAATGTCGTGTGTCGAAAGGCAACAACAAAATGGACGTGTGGAGAGAAAACATCAGAACATTCTCAACATCGCCCGAGCCTTCATATTCCCATCCCACATTCCACTACAATTCGGGAGTGACTGTGTTCTTTATGCAGTACACATCCTTAATCGCCTACCTACACCCATTTTTTCCAATCAAACACCTTACCAAAAACTCTACCACCACCCACCAGA